ACACCCATGGCCTGTCACACACCCATGTCCTGTCACACAACCATGGCCTATCACACACCCATGACCTATCACATACCCATGTCCTGTCACACACCCATGGCCTGTCACACACCCATGGCCTGTCACACACCCATGTCCTATCACACACCCATGACTTGTCACACACCCATGGCCTGTCACACACCCATGTCCTGTCACACACCCATGGCCTGTCACACACCCGTGTCCTGTCACACACCCATGGCCTGTAACACACCCATGTCCTATCACACACCCATGTCCTGTCACACACCCATGTCCTATCACACACCCATGGCCTGTCACACACCCATGGCCTGTCACACACCCATGGCCTATCACACACCCATGTCCTGTAACACATCTATGGCCTGTCACACACCCATGTCCTGTCACACACCCATGTCCTGTCACACACCCATGTCTTGTGACACACCCATGGCATGTCACACACCCATGTCCTTTCACGCACCCATGGTCTGTCACACACACATGGCATGTCACACACCCATGTCCTGTCACACACCCATGGCCTGTTACAAACCCATGTCCTTTCACACACCCAAGTCCTATCACACACCCATAGCCTGTCACACACCCATGTCCTGTCACACACCCATGGCCTGTCACACACCCATGGCCTGTCACACACCCATGGCCTATCACACACCCATGGCCTGTCACACACCCATGGCCTGTCACACACCCATGGCCTATCACACACCCATGTCCTGTCACACATCCATGGCCTGTCACACACCCATGTCCTGTCACACACCCATGTCCTGTCACACACCCATGTCCTGTCACACACCCATGGCCTGTCACACACCCATGTCCTGTCACACACCCATGGTCTGTCACACACACATGGCATGTCACACACCCATGTCCTGTCACACACCCATGGCCTGTTACAAACCCATGTCCTTTCACACACCCATGTCCTATCACACACCCATAGCCTGTCACACACCCATGTCCTGTCACACACCCATGGCCTGTCACACACCCATGGCCTGTCACACACCCATGGCCTATCACACACCCATGTCCTGTAACACATCCATGGCCTGTCACACACCCATGTCCTGTCACACACCCATGTCCTGTCACACACCCATGTCTTGTGACACACCCATGGCCTGTCACACACCCATGTCCTTTCACGCACCCATGGTCTGTCACACACACATGGCATGTCACACACCCATGTCCTGTCACACACCCATGGCCTGTTACAAACCCATGACCTTTCACACACCCAAGTCCTATCACACACCCATAGCCTGTCACACACCCATGTCCTATCACACACCCATGGTCTGTCACACACCCATGGCCTGTCACACATCCATGGCCTATCACACAACCATGGCCTGTCACACACCCATGTCCTGTCACACACCCATAACCTGTCACACACCCTTGGCCTGTCACACACCCATGGCCTGTCACACACCCATGGCCTGTCACACACCCATGGCCTGTCACACACCCATGGCCTGTCACACACCCATGTCCTGTCACACACCCATGGCCTGTCACACACCCATGTCCTATCACACACCCATGGCCTGTCACACACCCATGGCCTGTCACACACCCATGGCCTCTCACACACTCATGGCCTGTCACACACCCATGTCCTGTCACACACCCATGGCCTGTCACACACCCATGTCCTGTCACACACCCATGGCCTGTCACACACCCATGTCCTATCACACACCCATGGCCTGTCACACACCCATGGCCTGTCACACACCCATGGCCTCTCACACACTCATAGCCTGTCACACACCCATGGCTTGTCACACACCCATACCCTGTCACACACCCATGGCCTGTCACACACCCATGTCCTATCACACACCCATGGCCTGTCAGACACCCATGTCCTGTCACATACCCATGGCCTGTCACACACCCATGTCCTGTCACACACCCATGGCCTGTCACACACCCATGGCCTGTCACACACCCATGGCTTATCACACCCCCATGGCCTGTCACACACCCATGGCCTATCACACACCCATGGCCTGTCACACACACATGTCCTGTCACACACCCATGGCCTGTCACACACCCATGTCCTGCCACACACCCTTTGCCTGTCACCCACCCTTGGCCTGTCACACACCCATGTCCTATCACACACCCATGGCCTGTCACACACCCATGGCTTGTCACACACCCATGTCCTGTCACGCACCCATGGTCTGTCACACACACATGGCCTGTCACACACCCATGTCCTATCACACACCCATGGCCTGTCACACACCCATGGCCTGTCACACACCCTTGTCCTGTCACGCACCCATGGTCTGTCACACACACATGGCCTGTCACACACCCATGTCCTGTCACACACCCATGGCCTGTTACACACCCATGTCATGTTATGCACCCATGTCCTATTATACACCCATGGCCTGTCACACACCCATCGCCTGTCACACACCCATCTCCTATCACACACCCATGGCCTGGTACACACCCATGTCCTGTCTCACACCCATGTCCTATCACACACCCATGGCCTGTCACACACCCATGTCCTATCACACACCCATGGCCTGTCACACACCCATGGCCTGTCACACACCCATGGCCTGTCACACACCCATGGCCTGTTACACATCCATGGCCTATCACACACCCATGGACTACACACCCATGTCCTGTCACACACCCATTACCTGTCACACACCCTTGGCCTGTCACACACCCATGGCCTGTCACACACCCATGGCCTATCACACACCCATGGCTTATCTGTTAAGAACTTAGGATGCTAGGTCCCTAAAGTTAGGACACTAGCTTAGCTAGGATAGGAGCAAGGCCGCCATGGAACGGCGCTAGGAAAAACGGATCTAGGAGTAGGAGGAAAGTCGAGAAGAAAGAGAGTTGGATTAGGAAGAGAAGGGAGTACAAGGAGGGGTTTGTACCCCCTACAGAAAGGTTCAGTAGCAACCTACCAAGCCTATATAAAATTATAACTTATATAATTTTAACACACCCCCTAGGCTTGGTAGTGTCAAGCCCACTCACACCCCCACACCCGCACCCAACCCACCCCCTAACCCCGCACACCCTCAAGCTCGTGCTTAGCCGGGTATCTGACCCTCAGGCAAAGAGTTGACACACCCCCGTACACGAGGCAGCCGACGGCGTCTAGGCGGGTCAGCGACAAGCAGCCGCGGAGCTCTGGCTCAAGGCGGCTGGGTCGCCGACGACAGGCGGCGACTGCCGCGGCTGAGGGCTCTCGGCAATGTGGCAACGACCGGGCAGAAGACAGCAGCTGCGACAGGAGGAAGGGAAGATGCAGGGGGGGGGAAGGGAGAATGGGGGGGAGGGGGAGGGGGGGGGGCGGGGCGAGGCGGGTCATCAGCGACGCGCCATAAGAGGCGCGGCGCTTACTGGCAGGGGGCCGGGCAGGTGACGACGGGGCCAGGCAGGGCGCGACGGGGCCGAGCGGGTGCGACGAGGCCAGGCAGGGCGCGACGAGGCCCAGGCAGGGCGCGACGGGGCCGAGCGGGTGCGACGAGGCCAGGTAGGGCGCGACGAGGCCCAGGAGGGGCGCAGCCGCGGCGTCGCGCTGACGTCGTCCCGGTCGCATGTCGAGACGGCCGCGGCAGGACGGCGCAGCCAGCGAAAAGACGACGACGCCACAGCGTGACGTCGCCGCGGCCGCCATGGCAGCGTCGATGCCGCAGCGGGGCGTCGACGCTGCGACTGCAGAACAACGGCCCGACTCCGCGGCAGCGCGTCGGGCCGGTCGCGGCACGACGCGCCCAGTGGCAGCGCGACGTCGCCACTGCAGCAAAACGCGGCCGCCATGGCCGCTGGAGTGAATGAGGGTGAGGAGTAAATGGCGGAAGCGAGAGGAGGCAGTCCAGCAGGAAGGATCTCCTGCTCTGATACCATGTTAAGAACTTAGGATGCTAGGTCCCTAAAGTTAGGACACTAGCTTAGCTAGGATAGGAGCAAGGCCGCCATGGAACGGCGCTAGGAAAAACGGATCTAGGAGTAGGAGGAAAGTCGAGAAGAAAGAGAGTTGGATTAGGAAGAGAAGGGAGTACAAGGAGGGGTTTGTACCCCCTACAGAAAGGTTCAGTAGCAACCTACCAAGCCTATATAAAATTATAACTTATATAATTTTAACATTATCACCCACCCATGGCCTGTCACACACCCATGGCCTGTTACACACCCATGTCCTGTCACACACCCATGTCTTGTCACACACCCATGTCCTGTCCCACACCCATGTCCTGGTGGGCGCACACTACTAGCCCATAAAACACCCATCATGAAACTCTTCCATTATTCAACGAAGTGAGCTCAACGAAGTGAGCTCAGGGAAGTGAGCTCAGGGAAATGAGCTCACCTGAGGGAAGTGAGCTGAGGGAAGTTAGCTCAGGGAATTGAGCTCAGAGAAATGAGCTCAAGAAAGTGAGCTCAAGGAAGTGACCTCATGGAAGTGAGCTCAGCTTAGGGTAGTGAGCTTAGGGAGTGAGCTCAGAGAAGTGAGCTCACCTCTGAAAGTGAGCTCAGGAAAGTGAGCTCAGGATAGTGAGCTCAGGGAAGTGAGCTCAGAGAAATGAGCTCTTCTTAGGGAAGTGAGCTCAAAGAAGTCAGCACAAGGAATTGGGCCCAGGGAAGTGAGCTCACCTCAGGGTAGTGAGCTTTAGGAAGTAAGCTCACCTCAGGGAAGAGACGAGCACCTTTGCAGCGCTAGCACTGGGAATTGAACCCGAGTCACCAACGCTCTGATACCGTGTCAGAAACTCAGCCACTAACCACTGAGTTAAAAGGGATTATTAATAGCAGGTTAGTGCGCCCATAGCCCCCTGACTCTGCACCTGTGGCCCTACCCCGAGGATCTTCTCAAGGGTAACCCCAGCAAGTCACTCGACAAGTTGGTTCCTTGATGTTACACAAGGAAATTTGAGCTACATCTTGTTACAGACGGCAACAATGGCATGCTAGCGAGCATTTTATGTGGTGTTTGGATGGGATGGGACACAGAGTGGTAATGCAAGGAGGTCGTTGTGAAATAACCCCAACCCCACGCGAGAATGTGTGTGTGGAGAGGAGGCTACATGGCTCCGTGCCAGTGCAGGATGGTTGCAAGGAGGCGCTCGTGTCTTTGTGCCAGCAGCTTGCATTCTGCAACCGACTTCTTTCCAGCCACTTTGCCATGTGGTAAGTTGGTAACCAGCCATCCAACCCAAGCACTTGCCATCATGACCATAGCGTCATGTCTCCAAGGTAAAACTCATGCTGCTTGCTGCCCTCCCACAGCCAACCTCTAGTGCCACTACTACCGGCAAGTCCCCACCACTACCGGTAGTCTCATACACCATCCTTAGCGCCTATGCATCTACGGTAGTCCCCCCGTATGCACCTCCAGCCACACCCCCTTTGCCATACCATAAACTATCCTTCTCATCTCAAAACTTGTCATCACAGCCATAGCTTCATGTCTCGAAGGCAAACCTCCTGCTGCTTGCTGTCTTCCCCACAGCTCACCTGCACTGCTACCAACTCCCTCCTATGCGCCTCCAACCATGCCCTATCCCCCACCGTTCGCCATCCGGGTGGAAACAACCCCCCTGGTAGCACCCCCACCCTTGCTCCCCGCACTCCCCCTCCCAACCCTCCTATGCCTACCCCTCCCCCCACTCTTTCCATACCTCCGGTACCGGCTCCCGCACCTGCTCCCCCTTCCAAACCTCCTTCCGAACCCCCATCCTCCTCCACCCCCACAAACCCCTCTTCCCAAACCATCTCAGCCACAGCCTGGTTGAGAGCCGTCTTGAGAACCTCCGAACCAGAAACCACACCCGAACCACCCCCGGCCGCTGCTGCCGCCCCCTTCTGGTATCCCCTTAAAGCCCTAACCGCCCAATCCCGCACCATGGCTAGCACAGCAGGGGAGGGGCGGAGCGCCATGAGCCAGGGAGAGAGGGACCCCAGGAGGGACGGGGTGAGGGAGGTAGTGGTGGTGTTGGTGGGGGGTGCAGGGGTCATCGATTTCTGCTGCCTTCCTTCCCCTCCTCTCTGCTCCGTAACAGCTGACCCGTTCTCTGCTGCACCCTGTGCCCCCTGCAGCCCTCGTTCCCCTGGCCCCTCTGGCTGCTGTGGCGGCGGGTCTTGGTCGGTGAGGGACGGCAGGACGAGGGAGAAGGCTGGGGGGAAGTAGGGTCGCGCGTCACGTAGCCACATAGAACTGACGTCGCTGGAAAAGACGGACGAATGAGGGGGACACGGGGAGGGAAGTCCCAGGGTAGAGGGAGGGGAGAACAAGGAAGAAGGTTAAGGGGGAAGTAGGGCTGGGCGCCACGCAGCCACATAGAGCTAATGTCGCTGGAAGGAGGGGGGAAGAATTTGAGAGAAAAGGAGGCATGAGGGGATGAAAGGGCGGAGGAGTGAGGGGATGAGGTGAGGGAAATAGCAACAGAAGACTGACAGGAGGGGAGGGAAAGAAGATAGGGGAAGGGGGCGGGGGGGAGGGGAAGCAACAGGGGTAAGGAAGGAAGAAGGGAGGGGAAAAAGCAGTCAGGGAACTGTATGTTCCTCTACCCTCTACCTGCAGCACTGTACCTGTACCCTCTACCTGTAGCACTGTACCTGTACCCTCTACCTGTAGCACTGTACCCGTACCCTGTACCTGTAGCACTGTACCCGTACCCTGTACCCGTACCCTGTACCTGTAGCTATGTAGCTGTACCCTGTACCTGTAGCTATGTAGCTGTACCCAGTACCTGTAGCACTGTACCCGTACCCTGTACCCGTACCCTCTACCTGTAGCATTGTACCCGTACCCTGTACCCGTACCCTGTACCTGTAGCTATGTAGCTGTACCCTGTACCTGTAGCTATGTAGCTGTACCCAGTACCTGTAGCACTGTACCTGTACCCTGCACCTGTAGACAACAGTCACATTGGCGGCCAGCAGGCGAGCGATGGTGAGTGGGGTCAGCAAGAGACTGTGCTACTAAGGAGGGAGCACAGTTTACTGTACCTGTAGACAACGGTGACATTGGCGGCCAGCAGGCGAGCGATGATGAGTGGGGGTAGCAAGAGACTGTGCTACTAAGGAGGGAGCACAGTTCACTGTACCTGTATACAACGGTGACATTGGCGGCCAGCAGGCGAGCGATGATGAGCGGCGGCAGCAGCAGGCACGTGGCTCTGGCCACGCGGGGCGAGATGCTCTCCTTGGGGCGATCAACCGTATGGCCGCCTGGTGTGCGCATCTGCTTGGCGCGGGGAGATGGAGAACGGGAGAAGGCAGGATGAGGGGTTTAGGGGTTTCGGGGTTTAAGGATTTACGGCTTTAGGGGTTTACGGGTTTGGGGGTTTCGGGGTTTAGGGCGCTCCATGGTGTGGCCGCCAGGATGAGGGGGGAGGAAGCAGGCAAGCATGCGGCTCCAGATCCACGGGGCGAGATGCTCTTCGCGCCGTGTGTGCAGCTGGTGGTTGGGGGGTGGCGAAGGGAGAAGAGAGGATGAGGGGGGGGATAAAGGCGCGTGGCTGTAGTAAACCCTGGGTCTGGGTGACAGGTTTTCCCTGGGTCTGTCCACGGTGTGACCCCCTGGCGTGGAGGGATGGGTGGAGGGATGGGTGCGCCATGGTGTGGCCTCTGCAGAAAAAAAAGACGGGGGGGGGGGGGGGGGGAGGTTGCACTGGGAAAGAAAGCATTGGGATGGGCGGACACGAGAGTATAAGGATGGGCGGAAACGAGAGCATAGGGATGGGCAGAAACGAGAGCATAGGGATGGGTGTGAATATGTAGCCATGGGGGAAAACGAGATGAGGAGCAGAGGGATGCATGCACGGGGTGGGATGAGAAGGGAGAGGAGGGGCGCGGATGGAGGGGGGAAATGGGCGGATGGAGAGGGGGAAATGGGCGGATGGAGAGGTATATTTTGAGTCGACTCAAAATACACCTGGACAAGCTGACACACGGTGTATTCAAAGGGAGACGTGCTTTGATAGCATGGAAACTACCGAAGAAGATCAAGGATTTTATAGTCGCAGCTAAGAAATGCTAGAATAGTGTTTCATTTTGTTACACTGATCTAATTATAGCCGGGCTTCAGGACCCCTTCTCGGGGTTGGCGTGGACCCTCAAGAATTTCTCGGGTCGCGCCTTTCCTACATATACAGCTCGAATGCCTAGGATGTTCAGCAGATGCTGATGAAGGCTTTTTTAAGCCGAAACTAGTTCATCCTGGTTTTAAGCAAACCTACTGTCATTCTTTTAAGCTCGAGCTCAACTCAGAACCGCTGCTTTGCAACGCATTTTACCATCATGGAGAGGGGGAAATGGGCGGATGGAGGGGGGAAATGGGCGGATGGAGGGGGGATGGAGGGGGGAAATGGGCGGATGGAGGGGGAAATGGGCGGATGGAGGGGGGAAATGGGCGGATGGAGGGGGGAAATGGGCGGATGGAGGGGGGAAATGGGCAGATGGAGGGGGGAAATGGGCGGATGGAGGGGGGAAATGGGCGGATGGAGAGGGGGAAATGGGCGGATGGAGGGGTGGGCGGGCGGGCTTCACCTGGGGCGGTGCGGAGGCGAAGACGATGCTGCCGAGGGAGGGGATGCGATTTTTGAGTCGACTAGAAAATCGCCTAGGAGAGGAGAGCGGAGAGAGCTGGGAGGGCTTCACCTGGGGCGGGCTTCACCTGGGGCGGTATGGAGGCGTTCCTTTGGTGCGCCCGGACGCTCAACTTCACCTGAAGAGGCACGGAGGCGAGGACGATGCTGCCGAGGGAGGGGACGCGGCCCATGTGCGTGTACCAGTTGTGGAAGAGCGCGTCGTGGCCTGAGAGTGGGGGCACAGGTGCAAGCATAGGGACGGGGCGGTAAGGGGTGAGCAGCAACAAGAGGGCGACAAGGGAGGGGATGCGGCCCATGTGCGTGTACCAGTTGCGGAAAAACGGCTCCTGGCCTGCTGGCAAGGGAGGGAGCAAAGGGAGGGGGTAGGGGGAACCGATTTGAGCGATAGAAGCACATGCATGAGGGAGGGGATGCGGCCCATGTGCGTGTACCAGTCGCGGAAAGAGTGCAGTCTGGCTGGCCTGTGGGTAGGGCGACAGACAGGGAGGTTGCGGTATGGGGGCCAGCTCAGCAGCAACTTGAGGCGGGCAAGGGAGGGGATGTGGCCCAAATGAGATCAGCTGGTGCCTGAGAATTCTCAAAATCGAAGGGAGGGGATGCGGCACATGACCACGCGCTCAAACCCGCTTGTTGTTTTGATTCAGATGTCATCTTTTTCAGAGTCAGCAGCGCAGGCAGCAGTCACGACCATTTTTTAGGCGCCTCAAAATTCAGATGTCATCTTCTTCAGAGTCACCAGCGCAGGCAGCAGCCACGACCACCATCCCAGCAGCATCTATCATACAAGTCGCCCCCCCTCGTGCATCTTCCCACATGATCCAATGATTATGCGCAACTGCTTGATTCCACTCAACTGCTTAATTCCTCCCTTTCAACACTCACCTGCGAGCAGAGGTGACCTCTAAGTACACACACACCATCGCAAGCAACAGCCACGACCACTATGCCTGCCAGCAGCCCTTATAATACGCATCTCCCCCCCCTGCATCTTCCCCACATGCTCCCGCACCCACGGCTCCAACGCTGCCAGCACTACCCACAGCATACCACCGAAAGCACCAACAACTCACCGCCACAGGCAACAGCCACTCACCCTCGCAGGCAGCAGTCACGACCACCATGCCAGCAGCCCCCATAATCCGCGTCGCCCCCTCCTGCATCTTCCCCAGATGCTCCCGCACCCACGGCTCCAATGCCGCCAACAGCTGACCCTCCCAATCTCCCCCTCCCTCCACACCGTTTCCACCTAGCGCCCCTCCCACTGACTGCTCCTCCCCTGCCTTTCCCTTCCCCCCCCTGCCCTGCTCTCTCCCCCCCTCCAGCATCCCTGGAGTCTCACCAAAGGCGCCCCTCCCTGCCCCTTCGGAGGGCCTAGGCATGGGGAACAGCACCACTGGCTCCTCCTCCTCCTCCTCCTCCTCCTCTTCCTCCCCCTCTTTTTCCCCCGCTTCTTCATTCCTCCCCACCTTCCCCTCCTCTGCCTTCTCCTTCTCACCTACCCCCGACCGTTGCCCCTCCACCCGCCCCGCACCAGCAGCAGCAGCAGCAGCAGCGGTGGTCGCATTCCCCTCCTCTTTCACCCGCCACACTCCCGCCCGTTTCAGCCCCGCGATCTTCGCCTCCTTCCCCGTCAAATAATTCGCATGCACCATCACCACTCTCGGCCGCACCTCCTCAAACACCTCCCAGTGCCGCTGCATCAGCTCCCCCGAGGGGAACTGCAGCGGCGGCAGCACGCCCAGCCGAGGCAGAACCCGTCCCTGGAACATCCACTGCATGACAGAGTTCAAGTGGTCCTGGTCCAACCCCGCCTGCCGGCCCAACTTGGCCATCCGAAACGCCCAGTTGCCCACGAGGGACTTGGTGGCGGCGGTGGGGCGGAAGAAGAGGAAGCCGCTGCAGAAGAGCGGCTGCCCGTTCAGATGGGAGGGGGAAATTGGCTCCGTGTAGGGCGACGGCTGCTGTATGTAGTGGTCGTGCGTGAGAAACATGTCAAAGTCGCCAGTAGCGTCCGTACCGCCATCGCCAGGAGTGGAATTTCCTATGTTAAAGTCGCTGCTACTGCCCCTGCTGCCGCTGCCGCTGCTGCCGCTGGGCTGGAAGGAGGATTCAGCAGCAGCCGCAGCAGGTGGGGAGTGTGGCTTTTGGAAGAAGGGGAGGGAGTGTGGCTTTTGGAAGAAGGGGAGGGGGTTGTGGAGGAAGGCGATGTCGATGTCGCTGTAGAGCACAGAGAAGCCGAAGGCCAGCAGGTGGTGGATGTACACGGCCCGGTGCGACGCCACGCGGTGAAAGGCCGCCGACCCGATGCGTGATGCACCCTCCACGTCCGCTTTCTCTTCCTCCCCAAACTGCCCACTCAAGTCCAGATGGATGGCCTGGTGGGGAACGGAGGGGAGAGAGGAGGGTACGGGGGGAGGGAGAGGGGTTGAGCTGATGGTCGGCGCTCCCTCCGCGTGCCACCAACTCCTTGCCTTGCTGCCGCTGAGTTGGCCTATCAGTTGGAGACGAATGGCCTGGAGGGCGCTGCCAGGGGGAGAGTGGGGGGCGTGGAAGTGACAGCATGGCAGCGCTTTTCAGAATGGAGTGCTTTTCGGAATGGAGTGCTTTTCGGAATGGAGTGCTTTTCAGAATGGAGTGCTTTTCAGAATGGAGTGCTTTTCAGAATGGAGTGCTTTTCAGAATGGAGTGCTTTTCAGAATGGAGTGCTTTTCAGAATGGAGTGCTTTTCGGAATGGAGTGCTTTTCGGAATGGAGTGCTTTTCGGAATGGAGTGCTTTTCAGAATGGAGTGCTTTTCCGAATGGAGTGCTTTTCGGAATGGAGTGCTTTTCGGAATGGAGTGCTTTTCGGAATGGAGTGCTTTTCAGAATGGAGTGCTTTTCAGAATGGAGTGCTTTTCGGAATGGAGTGCTTTTCAGAATGGAGTGCTTTTCAGAATGGAGTGCTTTTCAGAATGGAGTGCTTTTCAGAATGGAGTGCTTTTCGGAATGGAGTGCTTTTCGGAATGGAGTGCTTTTCAGAATGGAGTGCTTTTTCCGGAATGGAGTGCTTTTCGGAATGGAGTGCTTTTCGAATGGAGTGCTTTTCAGAATGGAGTGCTTTTCAGAATGGAGTGCTTTTCAGAATGGAGTGCTTTTCAGAATGGAGTGCTTTTCAGAATGGAGTGCTTTTCAGAATGGAGTGCTTTTCAGAATGGAGTGCTTTTCAGAATGGAGTGCTTTTCGGAATGGAGTGCTTTTCAGAATGGAGTGCTTTTCAGAATGGAGTGCTTTTCAGAATGGAGTGCTTTTCAGAATGGAGTGCTTTTCAGAATGGAGAGCTTTTCGGATAGGAACTTTCACCTGCTCTTGACTCGACTCAAAAGCAGTCCTTCTTTGGCATCCACCTCAAGAGCTGGCAGAAGACGAACTCACCTGTCTGTCTCAAGAGCCCGACATTCTCTGCTCCCAGCCACTTGGAGTGTAGTTTTGAGGCGCCTCAAAATCAGCTCTTGAGGTGGGGTGGCAGAAGAAGAACTCACCTGTCTGCCTGTCTGTCTCGAGAGCCCAATGTTCACTGCTCCTGGCCAAGGTTAAAAAATGCAGTTTTTTTTCAAAAATTTCCCATATAAACCGGTATCGAATTAAACGGTCGTTTAATACGAAAAAAAAACGGTAAAAATGTGCCAAAATAGGCTGGTTAAAAAATACGGCCAAAATTTTAGACTGTGCAAAACAATCCGACGAAATGCGCGGATCTGGTATTTCGCCCTCCGAAATGCACGGATCTGGCATATTGCTCCCCAAAATGTGCCAGATCTTGCGTTTTTGGTGGACGAAATGCATGGATCTGACGTTTCATCAGCCGAAATACGCAGATCTGACATTTCGCCCGTCGAAAGGCGCAGATCTCGCATTTGGGCGGACGAAAGGCGCGGATCTGGTGGATGATTAGGCTGTCTACCAAAAAATAAGAAATAAAATATTTGAGAGGCTCTATTTGAAAAACCGGCGTTTTTTCCCCAAAATTCCTGAAAAAAACGGTCTAATAGTGCGGACCGTATTTTTCGATAACCGTATTTTTGAACCTTGCTCCCGGCCACTTGGAGCGCGCCAAGTCGAGGCTTTTGCTGTCCGCTGCAAAGACAGTGAAACACGGCCTGGCCCGAACCCACCTGATCCAGCCATTGGGCTCCTGAGAGTTCATAGAATCGTCAGGCAAGTAAGGCTTCGTCGGAGCTCACCTGCCCGGGCCATTTGGACTGGACGAATTCGAGGCTTCTGTGAAAACAATAAAGTGCCGCCGCCCCAGACCCACCCCGGCCACCCGCTCCAGATTCATATGATTGGGCAGTTAGGGCGTCTGATGAGAGCTTGCCTGGCCGGGCCATTTGGACTGGGCGAAGTGGAGGCTCTTGTTGTCTGCCGCAAAGACTATGAAGTGGCGCCCCAGACCCACCCGCTCCAGATGCAACACCCAGTTCTCCAACATGTCCTCGTAGCCTGGTTACACGGTAACATGGTAGCGGAGTAACAGGGACACAGGGCAACAGGCACACAGGGCAACAGGGACACAGGGCAACAGGCACACAGGGCAACAGGGGGACACAGGGCAACAGGCACACAGGGCAACAGGGACACAGGGCAACAGGGACACAGGGCAACAGGGACACAGGGCAACAGGGACACAGGGCAACAGGCACACAGGGCAACAGGGACACAGGGCAACAGGGACACAGGGCAACAGGGACACAGGGCAACAGGGACACAGGGCAACAGGGACACAGGGCAACAGGCACACAGGGCAACAGGGACACAGGGCAACAGGGACACAGGGCAACAGGCACACAGGGCAACAGGGACACAGGGCAACAGGGACACAGGGCAACAGGCACACAGGGCAACAGGGACACAGGGCAACAGGGACACAGGGCAACAGGCACACAGGGCAACAGGGACACAGGGCAACAGGGACACAGGGCAACAGGGACACAGGGCAACAGGGACACAGGGCAACAGGGACACAGGGCAACAGGGACACAGGGCAACAGGGACACAGGGCAACAGGCACACAGGGCAACAGGCACACAGGGCAAGGAAGCAAGGGAACGGACGGGGAAATATGTCAAGTCAACCATTCAGGAGTCTCCCAATGCGGCACCCAGTGTTCCAGCTTGTCCTCGAAGCATGGGTAACAGGGTAGCAGGGTAACAGGGTAGCAGGGTAACAGGGTTAGCAGGGTAACAGGATAGCAGGGTAACAGGGTAGCAGGGTAACAGGGTAGCAGGGTAACAGGGTAGCAGGGTAACAGGGTAGCAGGGTAACAGGGTAGCAGGGTAACAGGGTAGCAGGGTAACAGGGTAGCAGGGTAACAGGGTAGCAGGGTAACAGGGTAGCAGGGTAACAGGGTAGCAGGGTAACAGGGTAGCAGGGTAACAGGGTAGCAGGGTAACAGGGTAGCAGGGTAACAGGGTAGCAGGGTAACAGGGTAGCAGGGTAACAGGGTAGCAGGGTAACAGGGTAGCAGGGTAACAGGGTAGCAGGGTAACAGGGTAGCAGGGTAACAGGGTAGCAGGGTAACAGGGTAGCAGGGTAACAGGGTAGCAGGGTAACAGGGTAGCAGGGTAACAGGGTAGCAGGGTAACAGGATAGCAGGGTAACAGGGTAGCAGGGTAACAGGGTAGCAGGGTAACAGGGTAGCAGGGTAACAGGGTAGCAGGGTAACAGGGTAGCAGGGTAACAGGGTAGCAGGGTAACAGGGTAGCAGGGTAACAGGGTAGCAGGGTAACAGGGTAGCAGGGTAACAGGGTAGCAGGGTAACCGGATAGCAGGGTAACAGGGTAGCAGGGTAACAGGATAGCAGGGTAACAGGGTAGCAGGGTAACAGGGTAGCAGGGTAACAGGGTAGCAGGGTAACAGGGTAGCAGGGTAACAGGGTAGCAGGGTAACATGGTAGCAGGGTAACAAGGTAGCAAGGTAACAGGGTAGCAGGGTAACAGGGTAGCAGGGTAACAGGGTAGCAGGGTAACAGGGTAGCAGGGTAACAGGGTAGCAGGGTAACAGGGTAGCAGGGTAACAGGGTAGCAGGGTAACATGGTAGCAGGGTAACAAGGTAGCAAGGTAACAGGGTAGCAGGGTAACAGGGTAGCAGGGTAACAGGGTAGCAGGGTAACAGGGTAGCAGGGTAACAGGGTAGCAGGGTAACAGGGTAGCAGGGTAACAGGGTAGCAGGGTAACAGGGTAGCAGGGTAACAGGGTAGCAGGGTAACCGGATAGCAGGGTAACAGGGTAGCAGGGTAACAGGATAGCAGGGTAACAGGGTAGCAGGGTAACAGGGTAGCAGGGTAACAGGGTAGCAGGGTAACAGGGTAGCAGGGTAACAGGGTAGCAGGGTAACATGGTAGCAGGGTAACAAGGTAGCAAGGTAACAGGGTAGCAGGGTAACAGGGTAGCAGGGTAACAGGGTAGCAGGGTAACAGGGTAGCAGGGTAACATGGTAGCAGGGTAACAAGGTAGCAAGGTAACAGGGTTAGCAGGGTAACAGGGTAGCAGGGTAACAGGGTAGCAGGGTAACAGGGTAACAGGGTAACAGGGTAGCAGGGTAACATGGTAGCAGGGTAACAGGGTAACAGGGTAACGAGTGGGGGAGGGGGGGGTAGAGGGGGAAACAGGAGGCGGCGTACAAAAACGTTTAGCAGGGCGCTTACAGCACTTCGGGTTCGGGAGCAGAGTGGGGGGGTTGGCGGGAGGAGGGCACGCAGAAGCTGCTGGCTCACCTGCATTTGAGGACGCGATAATGACAGTCCCGTTAAGCGAGACGCGGCTGGCCATGTCCCACAGCGCGCCGAGCTTCTCGTGAAGACCGCTGAGGCCGTCCTCTGCCAGGCGCCGGCGGCCTGGCTCGCGAAAAGGCTCGCGAAAAGGATCGCGAAGAGGTTTGGCGACGGAGCAGGCGACGAAACGGGTGCTGAGAAGAAATGCGAGGAGGAGGAAGAGCGAGGAGCGGAAGGGGCGTCGACTGAATAACAGCGAGGGGCCTAGCACACGTGGAGGATTATGAGTGGTTGAAGGTTGAACTGGGACACGTGGAGGACGCTGTGTGGACGATCCTAATAGCGCGAATGAAGTGCGTCCTCGAGAAGGCGTGGGTCGTCGCATGCTTCTAGTAGAGCCTGGGCCTGAAGAGGAACTTAGTATCCGTTCGAGACCTAAAGCTACTAACTTAAATGGCTGTGGAGAGTCCATCCGCGATAACAGCCTCGCGTGGTATAACGGTGTAAGGCCTACAGTGCACTGAAGCCGCTAGAATTAGGTTCTACTGTATAAGGAGCGCATCAGAACCAGCTGATCTCGGCTGGCCTCCCGCGGACGCAGCGAGAGAAACGAGCTCGTGAGGAGTAGTAGTGCGCGATGTCAGATACAGTACGGTACACGTCTTAGATACGCACACGGGTAGCGACGAAACGAGGCGTCGCGGCAAGCAGCTAACTGGTTCAGTCTGAACCGCCATTGATCGTCCCTGCAGAGCGAATTGGTCGGTTGAAACACCCGCACACCTTCACCAGTGCAATAGCGAGGATATCGTTTTCTGATAGTCGACGAGAGAAGAAGTCCGGGTAAGTGCACAACATTCTGATCTTTTTATAGTGATACTACAACATAGGTCAATTTTCAACCTGTGATAAATCAGTCCCCTTCTTCATTCTCCTTTTCTCACGCATTTGTGAAGCTTCACACTAATGTTTCAAACAGATGGCACACAAAAGTCTCCCACGGCAAAGTGCTTCATTCATATGCTCGGTCCAGCCCATAGTCAGTAAAGAATCGCACTATCTGAGTGTAAACATCCTCAACGACAAAAGAGGCGAACAAAAAGTCTAGATGTGCATAATTCGGCATGTACATCACCTTCGGTCGTTGTGCCAGTTTGGATATGAACCATTCCACATCAGCAGGGGCCGCAAGGGAGTCCCTACCACCATAGGCAATAGCGAGTCGTATAGTAGAGGGGAAGGCTGACGGGCGGAAGAAGGGCGGTGTGCTTTGGTGGTAACGCAGCCAGTTCTTGAGGAAGCCATAGTCAAACTGCTTCCACTCACCAGAGCGAACCACTTGTAGCAAGGGGTGGACGGGGAGAGGGGAGAGGGGGGGTTGTGGGACAAAAATGGGCGCTTTGATTCAGAAAGGCTTGAAAGGCTTAGAGGTATTGCCAGGAAGGCTGGGGAATACAGAAAGAGAGAAAAGATACAGGAGGCAGGTGTTGGAAGGGAACAGAGCTGAGATCACAAGTTTGACACGAAGGTGCAGTTGCTACCACTATATTAAATGACAGAAAAGCACCCTATCGGGGTATTTGTGCGAAGTGTTTGTCCTCCTTACTCTGTCCGAAATGTGCCATGTTCTTGACAGAGGACGCAAGAGGGAACCAGGGCACCAGCTTGGCGAAATAGCGGATGTCGATGCAGCAGTTGGGCCCTGTGCACAGGCAAAGGGAAAGCTTCTTTGAGTCTTTGAGTCGTTACGCACGGGGAGGGTTGACTGGTGCAGTGACATGGGGAAAACACCAACAAGTGAAACCTCTCACCTTTCAAGAAGCACCAACAAGTGGAAATATGGATGACGTAGCAACTGCATGATGAAAGGTGTTGTGTGACATTGTAACGAGGAGGTGACTTCTGAGTCGACTCAAAAGTCACCTAGTGAAAAACATGGATGACGTGGCAACTGCATGATGGACTTTTGAGGCGCCTCAGAAGTAATGGGAACGGCAGCCGCAACTACGGCTACTGTGTTTTCTTGGCTTCTTGTTTTCTTGGCTTCTGGTTTTCTTGGCTTCTGGTTTTCTTGGGTTCTGGTTTTCTTGGCTTCTGGTTTTGAAACGGACGTGCCTGTGAATGCAGAGAGCAGCGAGGAGCAGTTGATGCGAGGAGAAGCACAAGCCGTGGCCACTACCAGCTCGCCCAATGCACTGCGCACAGGGAGGGGAGCATTGAATGGCGGTAAATGGTGGACCCCCGCAAAGACTTTGGAGGCGCCTTGAAGGGGCAGAGAGGAGAAGCTAATGCGAGGCGAGCCACAAGCCATGGCCACCACGAGCTTCCCTAGGACAATGGTCATAACGAATGACAATACAAATGCACGGAACACGGAACACGGAGTGACAATCATTACCGTGAACACACGTTTGAACGTCAAGTAACACTCGTCATCGCCATGCATTTATGTAGATTCTCAGGTCACGTTTACGTAGAATAAGCATGCATAAGACTCTCGAGTATATGTGGTTATGCACTTGCACAGGCTGAACCTGTGAAAGCCACTATCTCCTAACACGGTGCAATGATTGGCAGCAGCATCCAAAGATTTCACAACAATGAATCCAGACCTTAACAAAAAAAAGAGAGGGGGGGGCGGGGGGGGGGGGGGTCGCTTGCGCAGGCTGAACTCGTGGAGGTGCTTTCCTCTTTTTGAATGTTTTTTGCATTGATGCATGGTAACAATAATTTAAATTATGCACACTATGAAGCCATGGGTGAGAGTATTCCCAGTTGCCGGTGGAACACCAGTTAGGTGGATGGAACACCAGTTAGGTGGATGGAACACCGGTGGAACACCAGTTAGGTGGATGGAACACCGGTGGAACACCAGTTAGGTGGATGGAACACCAGTGGAACACCAGTTAGGTGGATGGAACACCGGTGGAACACCAGTTAGGTGGATGGAACACCAGTTAGGTGGATGGAACACCGGTGGAACACCAGTTAGGTGGATGGAACACCAGTTAGGTGGATGGAACACCGGTGGAACACCGATGCACTCACTTGCCGATGCACTCACTTGCCGACGCACTCACTTGCCGATGCACTCACTTGCCGATGCACTCACTTGCCGATGCACTCACTTGCCGATGCACTCACTTGCCGATGCACTCACTTGCCATGGAGTATGAAGCCATGGGTGAGAGTAGTCCCTGTTGCACTCACTTGCGTAGGCTAAACTCGTGGAGGTGAGTTGCTCTCACAAACTGGAGAACAAAAAAAAACAAAAACAAAAACCAAAAAGAGGAAAGGGGACGTGAGACAAGAATTGGGGAAAAAGAAAGGCAGGGCAGAGGGGAGGGGAGGGATGCGGGTTGGTAGGAAGGCAAGAGACGCTGATAGAAATGCTGTGGACCATACTGTGGTCGGTTGGAGGGTTAGCCATACTGTGGACAATACTGTGGTCGGTTGGACGGTTAGCCATACTGTGGACGATACTGTGGTCGGTTGGAGGGTTAGCCATACTGTGGACGATACTGTGGTCGGTTGGACGGTTAGCCATACTGTGGACGATACTGTGGTCGGTTGGACGGTTAGCCATACTGTGGACGATACTGTGGTCGGTTGGACGGTTAGCCATACTGTGTGGACGACACTGTGGTCGATACTCACACATGTTGGAAGAACACAATACAATGGACAGGGGGCACTACGAACAATGCAATGGACAGGGGGCACTAAGAACGCCCTGGAGATTCTTGAGGACAGCTACAGTTCGATTCTGGAGAAAGGCTCATTGCAGGCACACACACCACTCGAACGAGGGGCAGCGCAGATGGCTCCCCTTCCCCCAGTGCAGGTCCCACTTGGCTGCTTCGTGGGCGGCTGGCGATGAGGTGCACGAGGGAGGTGATGGGGCGATGAGAGTATTGAACAATCATTAGTACTCATCGGCGCTCACCCTGTCAAGGTCGAGCTTGGCTGCTTCGTGGGCGACAGGAGAGGAGAGGTGCGCGAGGGAGGTGACCGGGGCGAGGAGGAAGGCAGCAGCGACAGTGGAGGGGGGAAGGTGCCCCCCAGAGAGGGAGGAGAGGAAGGAAAGCGCGCCCTGGGGGAGAGAGAAGGGGTGGGGAGTCTATTTTTGAAGATGTCCGCGTCGCGCCGCGCGGCGCTCACTGACGCCGCGCTCACTGGAAGATGTCCAAGGATCGCCCCCCAGAGAGGGAGGCGAGGAAGGTGAGCGTGCCCTGGGGGAGAGAGAAGGCGCGGGGGGTTGGGGGGGCAGGTAGCTGGCAGAGAGGGAGAAGAGGAAGGAGAGCATGCGCTGAGGGGGGAGCACCACTTGGAAAGAAAGGGAGAGAAAGGGAGAGAAAGGGAGAGAAAGGGAGAGAAAGGGAGAGAAAGGGAGAGAAAGGGAGAGAAAGGGAGAGAAAGGGAGAGAAAGGGAGAGGAAGGCAGGAGATTCTAAGGGAGATACGAAAACCGAGGCGATGGTGAATGGGTGACGAAACCCGGGAAAGCCAAGGGAAGGCAGATTGAGGAAAGACCGCGCACACAGCGAAGCGACACAGTGCCACACAGCAGCGCACTGTGAACACAGTGGAATTGAGCAATGGGCCCCACGTAGACACAATGAGCATGATGAAACAAGAGACTCGCCTGACAGTGCCCACGTAGAGCACCTGCTGTGCCCCCGTGCGAGAGGCTGACAGGATGTATGGTAAGACGGCACGTTACCACGTTTTGAGGCGCCTCAAAACAGGATGTATGGTAAGACGGCACGTTGCCACGCCATGCGCACCTGCGGGTGCCCCCTTTAGTAGCCGTGCCTCGCCCCCGTGCATGGTAGGGCGACATGGTAGGGCGACATGGTAGGGCGACATGGTAGGGCGACATGGTAGGGCGACATGGTAGGGCGACACATCATCGCTCCATGCGCACCTGAGAGTGCCCCACGTAGAACACCTGCCTCGCCCCTGTGCGAGAGGCTGAGAGGATGTAGTCTATCTGCGCTGGCAGGTCGTTGGCCGCCATGTCCGCCCACGTCCACTCCCAGTACCGCTGCATGTGGCAAGAGGGGCGGCACGGCATGAGACGTGGGTGGGTGACAGCATGTAGTCTGAAGACTCCATGTGGCAGGTCGCTGGCCGCCATGTCCGCCCACGTCCACTCCTAGTACCGCTGTGAGGGGTGAGGCACGATGGGTGTGATATGAGGAAAGGAGTAGAAGTGAGGCACGATGGGTGTGATATGAGGAAAGGAGAAGAAGTGAGGCACGATGGGTGTGATATGAGGAAAAGAGAAGAAGTGAGGCACGATGGGTGTGATATGAGGAAAGGAGAAGAAGTGAGGCACGATGGGTGTGATATGAGGAAAGGAGAAGAAGTGAGGCACGATGGGTGTGATATGAGGAAAGGAGAAGAAGTGAGGCACGATGGGTGTGATATGAGGAAAGGCGAAGAAATGAGGCACGATGGGTGTGATATGAGGAAAGGCGAAGAAATGAGGCACGATGGGTGTGATATGAGGAAAGGAGAAGACATGAGGCACAGCATGGCACGAGGAATGGCATCTCGAGTGACATGACTGACGAGATGCATGCGACCATCCCAGTCCACTCTCAGTACCGCTGCATGCATGTGGCATGGCATGAGAGATGGCACGGACAAGCCCATCCCCATCCCCATCCCCATCCCCATCCCCATCCCCATCCCCATCCCCATCCCTATCCCCATACCCATCCCCCCATCCCCTCCCCCCAATACCACCCTCTCCTTGGGCGTCCAGGTCATGTGCCCGTGGCTCCAGGGCACCTACACGCCCTTCACCGCTCCGCCTCCCCCCCCACCTCACCTTATCCTTGGGCTCCCAGGTCACGTGCCCGTAGCTCCAGGGCCCGCACCTGCTGTTGCCGAGCCACACCTCGAACCCGAGCCTGACGAGCAGGAATGGCAGGGAGAGGCCTGGAGGGCCCACAACCCAGCTCTCTGCTCCCTGGGGTGAGAGATGTGTGCGTACGAATAGCATAGCACATGCATGAGATGTGTGCGTACGAATAGCATAGCACATGCATGAGATGTGTGCATATGAGTAGCATAGCACATGCATGAGATGTGTGCGTCTGAGTAGCATCGCACATGCATGAGATGTGTGCGTACGAATAGCATAGCACATGCATGAGATGTGTGCGTATGAATAGCATCGCACATGCATGAGATGTGTGCGTATGAATAGCATCGCACATGCATGAGATGTGTGCGTATGAGTAGCATAGCACATGCATGAGATGTGTGCGTATGAATAGCATCGCACATGCGTGAGATGTGGGGGAAGAGGGGAAGAGAAGAGGGACGGGATTAAGTGCGACGGGAGGGATTTGCGTGAGTTGGCGAGTCCCTCTGCGACCTGTAAGGGTGACGGTGTGCCTCTACGACCTGTAAGGGTGACGGTGTGCCTCTGCGACCTGTAAGGGTGACGGTGTGCCTCTGCGACCTGTAAGGGTGACGGTGTGCCTCTGCGGCCTGTAAGGGTGACGGTGTGCCTCTGCGACCTGTAAGGGTGACGGTGTGCCTCTGCGACCTGTAAGGGTGACGGTGTGCCTCTGCGACCTGTAAGGGTGACGGTGTGCCTCTGCGACCTGTAAGGGTGACGGTGTGCCTCTGCGACCTGTAAGGGTGACGGTGTTGCCTCTGCGACCTGTAAGGGTGACGGTGTGCCTCTGCGGCCTGTAAGGGTGACGGTGTGCCTCTGCGACCTGTAAGGGTGACGGTGGCCTCTGCGACCTGTAAGGGTGACGGTGGACCTGTAAGGGTGACGTGTGCTCTGCGCTGTAAGGGTGCGGTGTGCCTCTGCGACCTGTAAGGGTGACGGTGTGCCTCTGCGACCTGTAAGGGTGACGGTGTGCCTCTGCGACCTGTAAGGGTGACGGTGTGCCTCTGCGACCTGTAAGGGTGACGGTGTGCCTCTGCGACCTGTAAGGGTGACGGTGTGCCTCTGCGACCTGTAAGGGTGACGGTGTGCCTCTGCGACCTGTAAGGGTGACGGTGTGCCTCTGCGACCTGTAAGGGTGACGGTGTGCCTCTGCGACCTGTAAGGGTGACGGTGTGCCTCTGCGACCTGTAAGGGTGACGGTGTTGCCTCTGCGACCTGTAAGGTGACGGTGTGCCTCTGCGACCTGTAAGGGTGACGGTGTGCCTCTGGCGGACCTGTTAAGGGTGACGGTGTGCCTCCTTGGCGGGCCTTGTAAGGGTGACGGTGTGCCTCTGCGGCCTGTAAGGGTGACGGTGTGCCTCTGCGGCCTGTAAGGGTGACGGTGTGCCTCTGCGGCCTGTAAGGGTGACGGTGTGCCTCTTGCGGCCTGTAAGGGTGACGGTGTGCCTCTGCAACCTGTAAGGGTGACGGGTGTGGCCCTCTCGACCTGTAAGGGTGACGGTGTGCCTCTGCGACCTGTAAGGGTGACGGTGTGCCTCTGCGGCCTGTAAGGGTGACGGTGTGCCTCTGCGGCCTGTAAGGGTGACGGTGTGCCTCTGCGACCTGTAAGGGTGACGGTGTGCCTCTGCGACCTGTAAGGGTGACGGTGTGCCTCTGCGACCCTGTAAAGGGGTGGACGGGGTGTGCCTCTGCGGCCTCTAAGGGGTGACGGTGTGCCTCTGCGACCTGTAAGGGGTGACGGTGTGGCCTGCTCTGCGACCTGTAAGGGGTGACCGGTGTGGGCCTCTGCGACCTGTAAGGGTGACGATGTGCCTCTGCGACCTGTAAGGGTGACCGGTGTGCCTCCTGCGACCTGTAAGGGTGACGGTGTGCCTCTGCGACCTGTAAGGGTGACGGTGTGCCTCTGGGCTGGGGGTGACGGTGTGCCTCTGCGCCTGTAAGGGTGACGGTGTGGCCTCTGCGACCTGTAAGGGTGACGGTGTGCCTCTGCGACCTGTAAGGGTGACGGTGTGGCCTCTGCGACCTGTAAGGGTGACGGTGTGGCCTCTGCGACCTGTAAGGGTGACGGTGTGCCTCTGCGGCCTGTAAGGGTGACGGTGTGCCTCTGCGGCCTGTAAGGGTGACGGTGTGCCTCTGCGGCCTGTAAGGGTGACGGTGTGCCTCTGCGGCCCTGTAAGGGTGACGGTGTGCCTCTGCGGCCCTGTAAGGGTGACGGTGTGCCTCTGCGGCCTGTAAGGGTGACGGTGTGGCCTCTGGCGACCTGTAAGGGTGACGGTGTGCCTCTGCGACCTGTAAGGGTGACGGTGTGCCTCTGCGACCTGTAAGGGTGACGGTGTGCCTCTGCGGCCTGTAAGGGGTGACGGTGTGCCTCTGCGGCCTGTAAGGGTGACGGTGTGCCTCTGCGGCCTGTAAGGGTGACGGTGTGCCTCTGCGGCCTGTAAGGGTGACGGTGTGCCCTGCGGCCTGTAGGGTGACGGTGTGCCTCTGCGGCCTGTAAGGGTGACGGTGTGCCTCTGCGACCTGTAAGGGTGACGGTGTGCCTCTGCGACCTGTAAGGGTGACGGTGTGCCTCTGCGGCCTGTAAGGGTGACGGTGTGCCTCTGCGGCCTGTAAGGTGACGGTGTGCCTCTGCGACCTGTAAGGGTGACGGGTGCCTCTGCGACTGTAAGGGTGACGGTGTGCCTCTGCGACCTGTAAGGGTGACGATGTGCCTCTGCGACCTGTAAGGGTGACGGTGTGCCTCTGCGACCTGTAAGGGTGACGGTGTGCCTCTGCGACCTGTAAGGGTGACGGTGTGCCTCTGCGACCTGTAAGGGTGACGGTGTGCCTCTGCGACCTGTAAGGGTGACGGTGTGCCTCTGCGACCTGTAAGGATGACGGTGTGCCTCTGCGACCTGTAAGGGTGACGGTGTGCCTCTGCGACCTGTAAGGGTGACGGTGTGCCTCTGCGACCTGTAAGGGTGACGGTGTGCCTCTGCGACCTGTAAGGGTGACGGTGTGCCTCTGCGGCCTGTAAGGGTGACGGTGTGCCTCTGCGGCCTGTAAGGGTGACGGTGTGCCTCTGCGGCCTGTAAGGGTGACGGTGTGCCTCTGCGGCCTGTAAGGGTGACGGTGTGCCTCTGCGGCCTGTAAGGGTGACGGTGTGCCTCTGCAGCCTGTAAGGGTGACGGTGTGCCTCTACGACCTGTAAGGGTGACGGTGTGCCTCTGCGACCTGTAAGGGTGACGGTGTGCCTCTGCGACCTGTAAGGGTGACGGTGTGCCTCTGCGGCCTGTAAGGGTGACGGTGTGCCTCTGCGGCCTGTAAAGGGTGGACGGTGTGCCTCTGCGGCCTGTAAGGGTGACGGTGTGCCTCTGCGGCCTGTAAGGGTGACGGTGTGCCTCTGCGGCCTGTAAGGGTGACGGTGTGCCTCTGCGGCCTGTAAGGGTGACGGTGTGCCTCCGCGGCCTGTAAGGTGACGGTGTGCTCTGCGACCTGTAAGGGTGACGGTGTGCCTCTGCGACCTGTAAGGGTGACGGTGTGCCTCTGCGGCCTGTAAGGGTGACGGTGTGCCTCTGCGGCCTGTAAGGGTGACGGTGTGCCTCTGCGACCTGTAAGGGTGACGGTGTGCCTTGCGACCTGTAAGGGTGACGGTGTGCCTCTGCGACCTGTAAGGGTGACGGTGTGCCTCTGCGGCCTGTAAGGGTGACGGTGTGCCTCTGCGGCCTGTAAGGGTGACGGTGTGCCTCTGCGGCCTGTAAGGGTGACGGTGTGCCTCTGCGGCCTGTAAGGGTGACGGTGTGCCTCTGCGGCCTGTAAGGGTGATGGTGTGCCTCTGCGGCCTGTAAGGGTGACGGTGTGCCTCTGCGGCCTGTAAGGGTGACGGTGTGCCTCTGCGGCCTGTAAGGGTGACGGTGTGCCTCTGCGGCCTGTAAGGGTGACGGTGTGCCTCTGCGACCTGTAAGGGTGACGGTGTGCCTCTGCGACCTGTAAGGGTGACGGTGTGCCTCTGCGACCTGTAAGGGTGACGGTGTGCCTCTGCGGCCTGTAAGGGTGACGGTGTGCCTCTGCGGCCTGTAAGGGTGACGGTGTGCCTCTGCGACCTGTAAGGGTGACGGTGTGCCTCTGCGACCTGTAAGGGTGACGGTGTGCCTCTGCGACCTGTAAGGGTGACGGTGTGCCTCTGCGGCCTCTAAGGGTGACGGTGTGCCTCTGCGACCTGTAAGGGTGACGGTGTGCCTCTGCGACCTGTAAGGGTGACGGTGTGCCTCTGCGACCTGTAAGGGTGACGATGTGCCTCTGCGACCTGTAAGGGTGACGGTGTGCCTCTGCGACCTGTAAGGGTGACGGTGTGCCTCTGCGACCTGTAAGGGTGACGGTGTGCCTCTGCGACCTGTAAGGGTGACGGTGTGCCTCTGCGACCTGTAAGGGTGACGGTGTGCCTCTGCGACCTGTAAGGATGACGGTGTGCCTCTGCGACCTGTAAGGGTGACGGTGTGCCTCTGCGACCTGTAAGGGTGACGGTGTGCCTCTGCGACCTGTAAGGGTGACGGTGTGCCTCTGCGACCTGTAAGGGTGACGGTGTGCCTCTGCGGCCTGTAAGGGTGACGGTGTGCCTCTGCGGCCTGTAAGGGTGACGGTGTGCCTCTGCGGCCTGTAAGGGTGACGGTGTGCCTCTGCGGCCTGTAAGGGTGACGGTGTGCCTCTGCGGCCTGTAAGGGTGACGGTGTGCCTCTGCAGCCTGTAAGGGTGACGGTGTGCCTCTGCGACCTGTAAGGGTGACGGTGTGCCTCTGCGACCTGTAAGGGTGACGGTGTGCCTCTGCGACCTGTAAGGGTGACGGTGTGCCTCTGCGGCCTGTAAGGGTGACGGTGTGCCTCTGCGGCCTGTAAGGGTGACGGTGTGCCTCTGCGGCCTGTAAGGGTGACGGTGTGCCTCTGCGGCCTGTAAGGGTGACGGTGTGCCTCTGCGGCCTGTAAGGGTGACGGTGTGCCTCTGCGGCCTGTAAGGGTGACGGTGTGCCTCCGCGGCCTGTAAGGGTGACGGTGTGCCTCTGCGACCTGTAAGGGTGACGGTGTGCCTCT